ACTCAAAAAATTACTAATTGAGAACATTTTACAAGTTCTTCAGAATTTCAACAAGTTATTTTATACACAATTCGCCTGCTAATATTAACTTTAATAGATTAATAAATTGCTATTATTATGCATTTAATGCGACAAATAAGCTTCGCTTTACTGTTAAATATAAATATTAAAAAAAAAAAGTAAAATATAAATAGATGTAAATATACGACAACTTACCCCACTCTGTGAAACAATGCAATCCTATCAATTGTAGGGTAGCTTTCTCGTAATTCATTACACAATCTGTTTAATTCTTTATAAACCATCTCATCATATGCCTCAAATTCTAAGCGATCAACCACTTTGTCACCAAAGTTATTCCTTGTAGTTCCTGCAAAAAAGAAAAAGAAAGAGAGGAAGGAAAAAAAAAAACTACAATATGAATTTTATAATAATTTAATTGTGAAAAATTCCATAACCTATCACATTAAAAATATTGCATGATATTAACCTAAAAATATTGATATACCACCACTTTTTGGTTTATTAACAAACTCAAGTGCATAAGATAATTGTAGTTCATCGGCTTGAATTAGCAATAAGTTTGTGGATAGTTTTGAAAGCATCTAAAACAAAAGAGAACCTTGTGAAATCTCGATTAATTTCAAACTCCAAAACTCTCAATTTCAATTTCAAAACTTTCTCATCAAAAAAAAGAGGAAAAATTGAAATTCCTCTTAAACTGAGAAAAAAAAATTGCATAAAAACCCTTACAATTGTGATATAATATAATGAAAGTATACCCAAAATTTACCATTTTCACTTCAAATTCGCTAGAAAATCCTTGAATATTTCCATCAACAAAAACAATAGTTGACAAATGACGAGCAAGACTGAAAGCATTAGCTAAATGGTTTCTGTATGTGGGCCAAACAATTTCTTCCAGGTATCTGAAATTCAATTAAAATGATTATTTAAAGTTATTGGACAGCATTCATTCATTTTATTTGTTCAAAATTTCATTCATATGTTTCAAAAAAATTTTTGAATTATTTTTTAACTTACAATGAACGATCATTAATCTTACTAATTATTGCATCAGCAAGAAAATTTTTACTTCAAGAAAGTCATGTAAATATTTTGGATTGACTCAAGATATTGATACCGAACCGAACTATATACTTTTTATCTACTAGATTACACCGCTAGTAATTAATGAGTCAATAATGAAAAGTTGAAAGGTTTTTTCTCTTTTTTTTTTAGGAAAAAATTGAAGGACAAATCTAGCAATTAATTTACAAAGAACTAAAATCAAAAACTTATTTTCAATTTTTTTTTTTTTTTTTTAAATGAAAACGCGCATTCCTTCAAAGAATTTCAAAAATCTAGGCTGTTCTTACAGAATGAAAATCACAAATATCATGACTTTAAGAGATTTAAACCCTAAAAAAAATTGCAAAAAAATACCCAGGTAAGTCCATAGGATTATATTCACGAGCTGTGCGTCTTTGTTCACACAAACTATAATTTAATGTAATAAAAATACATCGATGTAACAGCTGGCGCAAACTACTAATTTCCATTATCATATTCCCTTCAGCAATCACAAAATCATTTTCAGTAATTGCTTTTTGTACATTTAACACAAATTTCTGCGTATCCAACTGAAATAAATTCTAAATGAAATATAAAAATTAAACTTTCAGATACCGCCCAGATATTTCTCTGATTATAAGATTTGTAACTGAAACAGAAATATTTCTATTACTTTTTGCTAAATCTTCCAAAAAAAGATTCAAAAGATCTTACTAACTTCCATCCATCATCATTTTACGGAACAAAACACTCAGTATTATTGAACAAGAGATAAGATGTTTAAAATTGATGACTTTAAATGAAAATGTTAGTATTAAAAATGAAACTAATTTATTTCAAAAATAGTGAAACTTTTTGGTTTTTGAAATGATTTAATATTGCAAAATTGAAATATTAATTAAAGTTTTAATTGAATGTAAAAATTATCCTCAAATTTGATCCAGTGCTTCATTCAAAATAAATTAATTAAATTAGCCTAAATATACCGCATTTATTGTATCATAATTATAAAATATAATTTTTGGATTTGAGTGGCTGACGACACGTTCCAGTTGTTCCATCGGATAATAAAATGCATCTTGAGGAAGCACTGCTACTCGCATACCTTCTTTAATCAGCTTGAAAAATTATAAGTTATTAGAATTTCACATTTAATAAATAAAGGATTACCATAGAAAAAATGTTATATTCAAATTTTAAGTTTAGTTATAATGTAGGATCAATTCATAAGTAATACTTTTATAAATGTTATTTAAAGATTATAGGATTCGACTGGTAAAATACTAACAAATTATCTTAAAGTACTCACTCTTAATAAAGAGTACTTTTCTTTATCTTTGTAAAATTTTTGAAAAAAAAAAAGAAGTTTACGCTTGTAAAACTTTAATTTTAACATTTTCTAATTTCATATGATTTTAAAAGACAATTTAAGATTGAATGATTCTATGGAATACAATTCTAAATAAATAGGCTTTTTGTCCTCAAAAGATTAATTGAGAAAAATCTCTATCACAAATCTTACAGCAGTAGATAATGTTTTTGAAAGTGTTGTTTTACCGCTGTTTGAACAGCCAGCAATACCTAAGACATAAGCGCCACTGTTTATTGGCTCATTGTGCATTTCGTGTCGTCTTGGCCAACTCAGAAAATCCTTCATAATTTGTGTAACTGAAAAGAAATAAAGCAAAATTTGAAGCCAAATTTAATAACCAAATCTAGTGGAATTAAAAAAAAAAAACAGGTATTTTATCAGTTATATCAACAAATATATAATAAAATTAACTGATAAAATGATTTAAGATCTACGAAACTACAATTTATAAACAAAGAATCAAGTCATATCATAGTATCACGGAGAGCATTTTCTTATAACTTAACGAAAATACCTGATTTTGCAGCTGAAATTGATTCATCCATGATTTGATTAATTAATTAGGTTAACAGTACCACTACTAATTCCAATTCGATCTTTTGAAAGAAATCAAGGAGAGATCATACCATTTATTTATAGAAGTATGAATTCGTTTTTTCTTTTTTTCAAATTGAATAAAATAAATATGATAGTATTTGAGCAGTTTCAACAGCGAAGAAAACTAATTTCTCTCTTCCCTACAAATAAGTCTGAAAATGAAGATAAAACTACTTAGAAGGCGATTAAATCTCAGATTAGAACAGTGAAATGAAGAAGGACTGTCATAAACTTAATTAATTTTATGATAAATATTATGTTTTTATTTTTTTATGTATAATTATCATTTCATTAAGAAAAAAAAAAAGAATATTCATAACGCTGTCTTTATCATAGATCAACGAATTGAACCAAATTTTATTTTTTTTTTTTTTGAACAATCTTGAAGACAAAAATATTCTTACTGATGTGTTCACTTTCAAGAATAATTTTGAGATCAATTAATAAAACAATTTAAGAAGAACATAGATAAATAAATAAACAAAAATAGTAAATGAACGAATGCATCGATCTAGATGAAATAGGCAAGCAAATTAAAGTTATAAAATAAGGTATTGCAACTTTTGTTATTTAAACAAAGTTCAAGAGGAAAAGACTATCTCTCTGTAGCAATTAAAATTGGATGCAATAATTAAGATATCGATGCATTCAAAATTTTGAAAGCCATTAGAATAAGATAATACAATTAAAGGAAAAACTTATAACTATCATTAATACAACAAGACTGAGATTTCAGGATAATTCAGTAGTCACAGAAATTAATTAAATTAAACGAAATGATTTGATGAATGATGGTAATGAAATACCAATCATCAAAACATTCTATTTAAATCATCGTTCTCATCGAATTGCTAATCTTTGAATCAGAAACATTTTTAAAATTTCTTTGAGCTTATTAATTCCAATAAGCAACAATTTGGCACGTCTAATAAATCATTTATTCATATGAATTTCGTTCATTTTGTATTTAATACCATTATTTACTTTTTAATATATGTAGTTGCATCATCAATACTAACAAATAAACAATATTTGTCTTTTGACAAAAAGATTTTTGTATTTTTGAATATTACTAATTCTTCAAGCAGTCTTTGATAAAGGAAGAAAAAAAAAAGAGCTTAACACTCGAATATTTACACTTTTTACACATTTATTTGGATAAAACATTTTGGATGATATTTTATTTAAATGACAATCTGATTCTTCGACATGAATTCTGAACTGAATTAGTATTCTGAAAATTATGCAATTCAGGAATTAAACTTATAAAAGTCGTACAAAACAGATATTAATATTGCTCTTCTTTGCTATTTAATTATCACAACCAAATATCAGAAATACGATATAATCCATCACAACTCAATAATTTATGGAAAAAAGGAAAAAAGAAGAAACATTGTTGGGTTCAACAAAGACCATTACAGAACTTATGAAGCAGTAACTTTCCGTCAATACAAATTCCTTTTAATTTTAAGTCCACCATAAAAAAATTACTTACCAATGCAGAAATGCTATCTTCAAAAAATAATCCGGTATGAAACTGATATTCAGGATCTAAAAAAGTAAATAATTTGAAAAGTGCTTTGCTTGCTTTATATTTCATTTCAACTTATAACATTAATTAATACTCTAACCTAGTGAACAATATCAGACTTTTTTTTTTAATTTCGAAAAAAAATCGTTTTAGTTTGGCATAAAATATTTTATATCTTATTTATTTTAGAATCAATACTAATGAATAAAGTAAAAGAAAAATTAACTAACATTGACACTGGTGAAAATGATAACGATTAAGATAAATGGCAGAGTAAGTTAAGAAAGATAGCTAGAGAAATATAAAATACTAATTAAAGTTTTAGACAGATATCTTAGCAGTGAAATTTAAAGAGTTAAACCTAGAAATGATACAAATTTGATTGATAAAAGAGAAATATTATAACTTTAGAAATTTAACCACCTAAATAACATTTTTGAACGCCGTTACTGATTCTTCTTTAGACCGTGGAAAATCAGAATAATTAGTTAACGAAAATTCAGTATCATCGGACGATGAGAATTCAGCATCAACTATAAAAAGTCAAATTTCAAATTCTCGAAAATTTGCTCAAACAAATTTATTAGTGGATGCGTGATGGATTTTTTTTTTTATTATCTTTTATTAGCCAACTATTAAAGACAGTATAATCGTAGTAGCTACTTACTATAATATAATAATTTGATATCACAACCTTGAAATATGATCCAACTATTTCCTTCTAAAAATGAGGAAGCATATGAGTGAATTAATTTGTGAAACTCACGATAGTTCGAAAATTGATTCTTCTCGTTCGTTTTCATTGCATCAAGCTAGAAAACATTATATATTCTATAAAATTCATTATGAAAAAATTTTTAGTCAAAAATCTTCCAAAGCTTTTCATTTTTTTTTTCCTCTTTTATAAAACTAACCTTTGGATGATTTTCTATCTCCAATTCATCATTAAAATCAGAAAATTCATCAAAATCCATTGAATTATAGGAAGGCTTTAGATTCTTCTCCCTTCCAATTTCATCCTTCTTATCCACTTTAGCTGTAACATATATTTATGATCTAAAATGATGATTTGTCTAAAAAAAACTTTTGAGATCCATAAAAAATTTTTCGAATTAATGGAAGAAAATTTTTTAAGAAATCAAAAAATATTTACCTGGAAAATGAAAAGATTTGCTTTGAGATGACAATTGCTTCTGCAACAAATAAATGGATAAATAACACAAAACATGGATTACTTGCAAGAAATTAATCCCGCTAACAGTTTTCTAAATCCAACCTGAATTTTTATTTGTAGAGATGTAGGAGAGAGACAACTAGATGATAATATAGAAAAGACTAGGAATAAAAATTTTATTCAAAAAAAAAAAAAAAAACTTTATTGATGAGTAGTATTACCTTTGATAATAACATATTCGAGACTTCGTCTTCACTGGAAGCGGAAAATTCATCACGAATAATAGATGGACCAGCTTTGAGAAAGTCAAGTTGTTTTCGTTTACTCCGATCTAAATATAGTAAATTAAGGAAAAGAAATTTTTGAGATATATCGTTAATTTGTGAAGTACACTACTAATTTCTATCCCTTCCAGTAATGTTTATAATTGATTAACTTCCATTTGTCAGCAAAACTAATCAATGATACTATTCTTCCATATTTCTATAGTTTAAAAAAGAGGAATGTGACAAATATGAACAAATACTCTATTGCAACAGTCACGAGAGATAGTGTAAAATAACCTTGGTGTCCAGGAATAGAAGAATCAGTGTTCGAAGAGTTATTATTCGCCATCTCTATCTGCAAATTTTACCTGAGAAATTCAGTAATGAAGCTCTCCTAACAAAGCCAAATAATTCACTGGTTAATAATCTCCTTTATATAGTTATTTACCTTTATATAGTTATTTACTTGTGTTGCACAAAACTTAGAACTAAGAATGCAACCTCAATTTTTGGTCTTTATATCTAACTACTTATCAGCCTAAATACTAGTATTTTATCATCTTTTACGATGTATCACATGATTATATAAGAGTAAACACAAGAAATGGTTACTTCTTATTTATATTAAAGTCAACAGTGAGCTTTTGTGTTGATATTATACAATAATTGATAAAATGACTCATAGCTTTAAGTTCTTAAAATTCTTATTAACTATGACATCGATAATTGCACTTTCAGTGATAGATGCTAGTCAAGTAGTTGAAAGAAAAAAAAAAAAACTCAATTTTGAATTCTTAAAGTTTTGCAAACTATTTTTTGTTATGAAAAACCTTCTACATCTTGTTAAAAAAAAACTGATGGATTACTTGAATGACACAATTTAAGATATTTCTCAGATCAGAGATAATATCAAATATGTTTTCATGAATTCATGTCATATATTCAAATGTTACTTTCTAATTCATATTTGCAAGTGATATAACTTTAGTGTCCTACATTTTTAACCAGAATTAACCATAAAGTCATACTCTTTCATGGATAATTTGTTCAGAATTTACAATAAAACATTAAAAAGAATTCCTAATTCACTGTAATGAATATTTTTTTTTTTTTAAAAAAATAACTTTCCACGGAAAATGGACACAAATATTTGTGGAAGTACTATCTTAAAGCTATTAGAGATGACGGATCATAAAAGTTTTATTCTTTCCAAAAATATAACTTAATAATTTCACTGGAAGAAAAAATGAAATCCACATAAAGTTGAGCTTTCCCAATATCACATGTTTTCAAACTCAAGACTTATTTACTTACTTTTACTTATTTACTTAGAAAAAGCGCTTCTGTCCAGCTTTTAGCCAATGTGGAGATGAAAAATTGGAAGAAATGGAAGAAAATTCAAACCCTACCCTTGTTTTTAATTATGGGATAACTATTCAAATGGCCGAAGTAAAAAGGAATACTTTTTGTAAAAACTTTTTTTATCTATCTATTCTTTTAACAAAGGCAAAAAAACGTTATCACAAAAAGAAAGGGCAATTAATTGTCAATTAATTTTAAAAAATTTTCAGTTTTATAGTAAGCAAAAAAAAAACCATTCAAAGAATATAAAAAAATTATCAGATCAGATAGTTAAAAGTTAGTAACAGAATGAATAACTGAAAATTTAGAGATAATATTAACTAAAAAAAGAGATAAATTAATGCACAAACCAGATAATTCTCTAGAAAGCTTCTTTGATTTGCATTTTTTTCGAGCATTTTAATTTGAGCACTTAAACTGAAAGAACAGAGTCAAATTTTATAAGTTTTTTGTTAAACAGTAATACAATAACAATAAAATCAGAAGACATCAGGAAACAAGAAGAGATTAAAATGCAATTAAAATTAAAAAAAAAAGATAGGAAAAAACACTTCCAATATAGAACTCATAGTGAGTTAGTTCCATATATGAGTGAGAAAGCTTCAATTTGAAGTTAAGTAGAAAGTATCATTTTCTCCTAATCTTGGTAATAACAGCGAAGCAAAACATATTTTAAACAATAAAGAAAACATCAAAGAAATTGAAAAATTCTTGTAAAAGTAAGAAAACTCTGCGGAGCAGAAAATTACTTCTTCGAGCAGAACTTTTTTACAGCATCCGGAGGTAGACCTGCGGTTTTCAAGAAGTGTTCCAAAATTATACTTGCATTATCTTTCTCTTTCCGTATTTGCAAAATTGATCTCAAAATTGATATTAACAAAAAGTAAATAGTAGGAAAAAGAAAATATTTAGTATCACTATGATATGTCTCATTCGATCCTTTAATTGTTAGATTATTCTACGCTTCATAAAGTTTTAAGAAATTTCTTCACAAATCAATGCATGTTATTTCTTCCTAATTTATTTAGCATATTTTAATCTCCTAAATGCAAAATATTAATTTAAGTAAATAAACATTTTCCGTATCATTCCACTTTCCGAAACCAGTAATCTTTTATTGTCATAATAAGAATGCTGGAAAAACATGTAAACCTTCGATCCAGTTTACGCTGTTTGCCTTGAAAATATTCATTGAGACGTGCCTCGACAGCGAGAGCAAAATCACGATTATTATCAACACCAACCATCTGATAAGCTTGCTGTCGCAGTTCGCTGTTAGTTGTCATTAAAAATATTTGAGCCAATGAATCAGCCAAAGTACCAGCTGGCTGAAATATTAAGGTTTTGTTTTATTGATAAAACTGTAGAACCTTTCATCAGAAAGTGTGATAATTACATCGTTTCAATAATAAATGATGCATTTTTGATTTGGAATAGTTCATTATATTCAAACAAATATCGTTGAATCAGAAAAGAAATTTTATTTTAAATCTTTTTTTTTTTTTTTAAAAAAAAAAAAATGTTTGTTTATTGTAGAACTTATTACAGATATCTAGTAGATAATTTATATCAATTACTTTATTTTCTAATACATTCTCAATCAGCGTCCTATAACAAGAGTGGAAAACAGGAATGGTATAAAGAAGCAAAGATTTTTTAGTGAAACAATTTCAAACTTTCAAATAAATATTTTCCTTATTCATTGCTATTGTACCTAAACGGGTGATCATTTAAAAGATTATAATTGATTTAAAAGACATAACAAGAATGCTGAGATTGAATCATTTATATTGTAAATTATATTTTAAGAAATTTCCGTTATCTTGCCAAATATTTCACTTATATGGAAAAACTATCGACAAGTTAACCATCTTCGCTTCTTTTAAAATTTTCTTTTTTACCTTTTCTAAAGGAATAACTTACTTACCGTTTCTAGATCGACTTCTCTAAAATCCATAAGTTCTCAACTGGCAAACCTGTAAAACTAATCGTTTGGAGAAAATATCAGTAGAATTAATGTATTAGCAGACAATGTAGAAAAACGGAACATTCATTACGATGACAAAAATTCAAAAGTCATATCGTACATACAAAGTTTTCAATATATTGTTTTCACCTCTCCAAACCATCTTCAACACTACAGATGAAACCTTTATCATAAAAGAGTTTTAATGTAAAAATATATTACTATAACATTATTTAGTTTTTATTTATTTATTAAAAATATATTACTATAACATTAGTTTTAACATTATTTAGTTATATAGTTTCAACGAACTATCATTAATGTTGTGTATTTGATTGACGATCAAATATATGTATTACTGAGGTATTAATCCTTATTTTATGATTCAGTGAGACATGCGCAGTTCCATCTTAGTCATTGTTGTTTTAGATCTGATATATTATTTTGCATTACATGAAACACTTTATTCACAAGAAAAGAAACAATAACATAGATTTTTATAATCCACTGAGTACAGAATCAGACAGGAATTGACAAATCCTGAAAAGGAATAAAAATTTTCTAAGGTTGCATTTCTACATCATGCAATCCTTCTGCACTGCAAAAAGCGACATCATATTCATCTTCTTCATCACAGTCAGTTACAATATGACGTTTACGATTACCTGGAATATACTACAAAGTTTTTGAATATGATTTTAAATGTTAACAAAATTAGACAATCGAAAAAAGTCAGTATTCTCGTATAACTTAAATTTTTTCAAGCTCACCTGTTTTTTACTAACGTCGGCTATGCTACTGAGTGCCATAACCTTATTGTGATTACTATAAAATTCATGTACCATTTTCCAACAAATTTCAGCATTTCAAAAGCTCTTGGATAATTTTAAAGCAACTTGGTTATTTTTACATTAAACGGAAGCGAAGTTAGCAACACTTGTGAGAAAATTATTATAGCTACTATAGACATGAGCACAATCTTTGTAAAGAAGTTTTGCATAACTTTAATTCTACCATCACATAAATATTTATTCATTTTAACTCCATTTGGTAACAATACACTCAGAAACACTTATTAAAGTATACACTTTGAAAGATGCATATAATTTTGTTGCAGTAAACAATAGGAAAAAAAAAAAAAAAAACCTTTCTGGTTCTGATTAACGCTTTGCATTTCGACAGGTGGACGAAGTTCTGCAGTGCATGGTTCACCAGATTCCAATTTACCAGGACACAAAACTTTTCCCGTTCCTACGGATTTCATAATTCTATAAATTAGGAAATTCGAATATTGGTAAAAACAAATCTGATTTGTCTAATGTATACAAACTGCGAAATTCTTATCTGCGTGAAAAGAAAGTGCATTAGTGGGAAATAAATTATTACGACATAAGCAAGATGAAGTCATCACCTTGCTTCTTTTATAGTTTGGATGGTACAAAGTTTTCGAGTATCATTTTTAAGCATAGTTTAACTTCCCGAACCTATTAAGGGATAATTTTATTCAGGAAATAAAATCTCAGTTACGTTTAACCTACTTTTTCAGTGGTTCAGTAATTAATTAAAGAATCACAAGTTTTTTTATCAATTTGATATTGAAACTAGTTATGCTAAAAAGGAAGTGAACAAGCAAAATATATGACTTTTACAAAAACCAACTTCAAACAGCACTGCCTGTGAGAAAAAGTTTTACACATTTTGCAGAAAATTGCTCGGTTCTTCGTAACTATAAACTTGCCACATATAACGCATTTTTCAAGTTGGAGTTCATCTGCATATGAACTGAAGTAATTTTGTAACTCTGCAATTCCGCGGGCACCCAAGCGGATCGTTGCTTCTTCGCTATCCTAAGAAAATGAGAAAATATTGTAGATAAATCATCAATTAGGTTTTTTTTTTTTGAATATTCCAAAATTTCTAATATCAATTATAAGCTGAGCAACATCACGCAAACTTCGTATGTTTTAAATTCTTTGTATCCATTTCCGAAACAAGTTGGCGAGTAAGTTTGATTTTCACATTATGATAAAAATCAGATCAAGAATATTTTTGAATATGAATTCAAAAAAGCACCCAATAAAGTAACAAAAGACTTTGAAAAAATGACATACCATCACTAGCCATTTATTTGAAATATAATGCTGCAGAAGATGCTCTTCATCTACTTTTTTGCCCTGCAAAGCATGCACGAATTTTAAAGTTTGCTTTTTATTTATATTATTATGGAATCTGAAACCATAAATTCAGGAAGGGATAAAAAATGTGACATATAACTGGAAAAAGTGATGAGATACTTTGAAAAAAAAAAAATAAAATATCGACTCAGATATAAAATAAATTGAAAACTCTCGATATAAAAAGTCATGTGCAAACCTTCACTAATAAATTTGAAGCGATCGATAATGCTTCGTGTTTCGAAATTTCACCATTCTCACTGTTGCAAATAGCGTTTACCCACAAATGGAAGAGCGTAATTTCGGTTTGCGTTAAACCATATGCGTCACGTAAAAAATCACTTGGTCTTTGGTCGCTGAGCTGAAACAACAAATAAACCGCTTAGTCAATAATCAATAATAGGATCAGATGATTTATTATGAGTTCGACTTGTAACTCTTATCAGCTGATGCATTAAATTTATTAATTCGAGTTAAAATCTTGTTAGTGATATCAAAAAATGACACTGAAACGAGTAACAATTTCATGTCAAGCCCACCAATACAATATAACTGTTCTGGTCATCATATTCATCGTTTGTTTGTATCAGTCGAAGTTTAAGTAAACTTAGAGCATTATTGATAACCACTATTAACTTTTCAGTAAGTGCTTTTTCTTGTTCATCATCTGGTTGAGTAACACTATTACCTGAAAACTTATGCATCTAGTCTGATAATATAAAAATCATGGGATAGTATGCTATTACTATCTCTACGTAGATTAATAAAATCTGGTAAAGTACGGAACTCTTGAGAAGTCATGCATAGGTTTCATTGTATTAAAGGAAGGAAAAGAGGATAAAAAATATACTTTAATTCAATTACTGCCATAACAGAATCTTGTTATCATGTCAAATTCAAAATAATTTACCCTGGGAATCATAGACTTGGACATACTGAATAAATTTCATATAGAAGTAATGAGCCTGTAAAGAAAAACTATTTTATTTATATATTAATGATATTTTAAGATCAGATGTAAATCATGAATCCATCATAGCTACAGAAAACAGTAATGAACTAAAACTATAACCAAGGAATATATAATCAACCTTACTTGCAAGATCCCATGTTTAATGATAAGCTGTACAAGGTGCTTATGTGGTATACTGTAATTTTCAACAATCCTTTGCAAAATTTCCAATGAACTTGCATTTGAATGCCCACTCATTTTATGTGATCAATGTAGATTCAATATATTGCAAACCAGCACGAATAAAATCAAATGAGAATTACATCTATTGAAACATATGCTGAAATTCGAGAGTGGCGCATGAATCAAAGATATAAATCTCGAATGAGTAATGTTACAGTTAAGAAAAAAAAAAGCAAAGTTTCAAAGAATTTGCCTACTTAATTCAATCATTCAAAGATAAATCTTGAGTTAGTCGACTTATTAACTATCTGAAGCTAATTTGTGATTGATGAAAAAATGAAGAAATTTTATAAGCATATGACAAGAATGTTTAAAGTATTTTGGCAAAAAACATTCTTTTAACAAATCTCTATCATTTACGTGTTTTATTAGAAAATTTCATTTGTTTCATGAAATGAATAAAAACAAAAGATGAATGAGTAATAACATTCAAATACATTTTTAAAACATAAATGAATATCTGACATATCCACTAGTAGCTCAGCGGTAAACTAATTCCACTGCATATTTAGAAATATTTTGTTCAAATTCTGATGCTCTAGCTTTCTTCCTACCTTTCTTAACTACCCGGCAATTTGAATAAAAGCACTTCCAATAGAGGTATGGGGGGAAACGAACTCTCCGATGTAAACGAAGCACTCTACCTGTGAGCTATGCTCTCAGCTACCCACTGATGCATAAAATTACCCATCATCTATCCAGATATAAGCATAACAAAACACTTTTAAGCTATGGAACCCATAAAATGAACTCGACTACTTACAATCTGCACCGATTTTTGATAAGCCAAACTTGGTTCATTTAGAAATTAGCTACGCCTTATCTTTCATCAAGCAAAATCATAAATATTCAACATAAATTTAAAAAAAAAAAAACTATTTGATGTAACCAATGATGGGTAATTATGTGCTAGTAAAGGAGTACCTTAAACTATGCAAAGACGATATTTCGGCTCAGTTTAGAAAATTCAATATTTACTTTCAAAAAATATCGAATTTCCTTAAAATCTGCTATGAAGATAAATAATCTATCAAATTAATCAAAAGCAGAAATCAATGAGAAGCAAAAATGCAAGAGGTTAATAAATCTGATAATCAACAACAAAACATACAACAATAACAATTTATAGATATGCGATAATATTATTTAGTTAAAATCAACGCAAACCTGGTCAGTCTTCTCCAATGCGACACGTAAATCTTTCACGTATAACAAAAGAATTGAAGTGATTTCGAAAATTTCCGTCCAAATATTCATTGTTACATTAATTGAAAAGTGTAAGGTACAGAGAACAAACATCAATGTATCGAATTTTAGCTGCCTTTTAGTGAAGTAATGAAATTGAATTAATTTTCTGTCCAGTTCATTAGTAATTAATAAAAAACTCGAAGAAAAAAAAAAAACTTTAAGAGAAAGCAAAACAATGCAAAAATGTTTGCCAACAACACAACGAATGTGTCAACAACATGGACAAGAAGGAACACAAAACATCTTTGTTATTTATTATAGTAAATAAAGTTATGACTGTAGAAGTTTAAAGAAGCGAATATGTCACCTTCATGCAAATTTTCTGAAGGGAAACTTCAGAGCAAAGCAAAAAGATAACCACTGCAAAATTTTTAATTACTTAAGTGATTGATGAACACATTTGCTATTCTCGAGAAACAAAACATATGAAAGTGAACAAAAAAAAAAAAAAAAACCGCAGGACCGCAAAAAATGAAAAAATGTCAACCAGGAATAGATGCAACACAATTTACAATGAAAAGAAATATTAAAAATTCAAATTTCTTACGCTTGCTACTTCCCAAAAAAGAAATGAAGGAAAGCTTTGACAAAAACTTTCACAAATTTCTTTTTTTCTAATCTGTAAAAGTAGAACAAAAGTTCGCAAACGATACCAGAAGAAAAGAATCCTTCAATACTTCCTCTTCAAAAATTGAAAATGAGTATCTAATAAACATAATCATCACGTTTAAGTGGTGATGTTTGAAACAGCCAGAAACCAGGGCAACCAATAATTTATTGACTAACAAAGGCTTATTTGAACTTATAGAAAAAAAAAATGCATTTCATAGCGTAAAAATGTTTAGGTATTACACAATCGAATATGAAAAAGACGAAAAGTTGATGAGCAAATGATGCCTCTGCTTAATGCCGATGTTCTAAAACGTCATCTGAAAGAAGATGCGGTTCTCTCACCTGATTGACCAGCTTCCAGTCTACTTTTTTCATTGCAGTACGGATACGCAAATTTTCATTCATATATCTCAAAGCATCAGCAGCAAATGATAGAGATTTTAGCCTGGGCAATGACTCCTTATTCTGCAAAAAAAATAAGCTATTATCATATAACTCAGTATGTATTCTGCTGTTACTAAATATTTTTGTAGTATATTATTTAAAAAGTAATCCAAAAAGTAATGTATTTCTTCAGTAATCAGTTCATTTCATTTCCTATCAAAATTTATGACTGTAATCAAAACGAAGTATTTTGTTGACATTACATAAAGTTTCCAAAAGCTGGCATATTCCATGAAATCCACAACTTATTATACTCAAAAAGATAATTGGGCACATTACAGAGCAACTATCATCAAAACACATATGAATTATAAAAGAATATAATGTGCTCTTATGCATCACAAAATCTACAAACCTCAAAAACCTGTAAAACTTTATGTACAACCCAATTACTGACGGTGTCACAATCACTTTTCATTTCCATTATTCGAACCAGAAGACATCGTCCTAAAATGTTATTTAAGGGACCAAATTCGGCAATTCGTCCCAACGAATCATAAACTGTCCCAAAAAATTCGGCCCACAAATTTGATGAACCATGTTGATAACTTTCTGGTATAAAAAGCCTCACTTGTACCTGAAAAAAGGAAAAAACATTGATAAAGAAATAATTTACCTGGCGTATATTCAAGTATATTCCGCAATAATTCTGCTTTATCATTCTTTCAGTACAGTGCAACATTAATGCTGAACTATTAAAAAACGGCAGTAGATTCGAATCATTTTGGAACAGTTGAATACTGAAAATCCTTTGTTTTGAATCAATGTTTTGCAACAGCTGGGACAGTTACCGAAACGATAGTCCTGTACGGTCGTGTAGGATAAATTGGATTGATGACACACCAGTCTTTTGCAATATATTTACATCTTCCTAATTCATTCTCTCCTTTCAAACATATATCATTCACAGGGCTGAAAAATGAGATTATCATTTTTTTGTTATAAAGTTGCTTCCAGAACATCATTAAATCATGATTATCTGAAATTCCTCAAAAGACAGAAAGATAGCAATAGTGGAGAAATTAAGGCTTGAATATTTGTCTATATCGAAATCTTATAAACTCAAACCTGGAAAGCAAAACTTACGATGGTATAAATTTAATCCATTCACCATGTGATATGCGCTCATCAAAATACAGGGAAATCACACCTCTACCAAGTACTGATGACCAAACAAAAGCTCTTCCATTAAAAGAGGATGTTATCAAACCAATAACTGTTTTACATTTATTCATCTTTTCTTCTACCTCTGCTCCTTCTGCTGAAGTAGATGATTGAAAGTCAAAAAATTGTTCCTGCAAAAATAACCTTTTTTTCACACCTGATTTTACGCTTTCACATTAATTTGTTTTCCCAAATACACTGTAAATAACTGGAAAAAAAAAAACTCATTTTTGGTACTTAAAACAAATAGAAATTCCTTAATGTCTGATTCCTATTAATAACTATTTTAACCATTTTTTTTTAGTTAGTTCAATAGCTAATAACTCTTGATAAAAGAAAAATGAAATCTTAAAAAAATGAAAAAACAGATATTATCGAAATATTAAAATACACTAAACATAGGCAAAAAAAAAAAAAAAAAAAAAAAAAAACCTTTTACCTTAAAAATTTTAAAGAATCAAAGTTGGTCATTAAAGGCAACTTAATCATATATCATTAAAATTTTATTAAAAAAATCATTAAAAGTTTACATTAGCAAGCTTACCTTGCTAAAATATGACTGCTGCGTATTGGTTCGTTGGCGTAACTGATTATGTTCTTGCAGTTCACTGGAATCAAAGTCACCGCTACTGAATGAATTTCTAGTGGTATATGTAGTAACATCAGAACAATTATCCTCGAATGTACTGTTCGACAATTTCATCGATGCGTTACATCCTGATGGAAGACTATGTACTGATGAAAAACGTTCCAAAGATGCTTTCACTATTTGCTCAGGAGGTTCTTCGCTAATATACCAGAACGTTTTGTATAAGTGTTCAAGATTTGAAAGCGCATGCGGAATTCTGAAATATAGTTATTTTTATATAAATGATAAGAGATCACTAGTAATTCTGAAATATTATATATTTATATAAATGAAAGATTAATCCTGTGTAATAACTTTTCCAGAAATGATTGCGCTGGCTATGTTTTTTTAAACAAATTTCGTTATGCTTGAAGTTAGTTCCTATCATCTCACACACTTGCTTCTAAATATGACTTGTAGTAAGTTAAATAAATGTTTGACTAAAATATTTAAAATCTCAACAATTTTTCCTAAAATACTTCTAAAAGATTAGTAAGAAGTAACCTGCTTCTTTTCATATATATATATATATATATATATATATTTTCATTTTATTTGAATGAAACAATCTGAATTTCAATAAAAAAAAAAGGAAGATGTAAGCTGACCTTTCAACCCACACATTATAATCATAGTTTTCATGCAAATTCGGGAAATTTTGGAATATTCCAATAACTCCTAAATCATTTGAATGAGCTAACAAATTACAACCAGAAGCACCATTGGAACGACATGAGATTTTCGTCTTGACCTGAAGGAAACAGAAATACCTACAATTTCTTAGCTACAGGAGATAAAAAGATGCAAAAACTTATTTGTTAAATATCTTTTCCGATTTTCCTTAAAGTTTTACAAAATCTAGAAAGCTAGAACTCCAATACAGTTTTTGAAACAATTTAAAAAATATTAACGAATCTCA